AAATAATGCATGATAGAACATATATAATGAAATAATGCATATTGTATCATATATATAATATATATGATTAGGCCCAAGAAGACATGTAACTTATAGGTGTAGGGGAATGTGTTACAGTGTAATGTCGCAGAAATATCCTGACTTATCGGGAAGCCAGGATAGACTCGGAGCTGCAATAGGACAGCTCTGGAGGCTAGAACCACAATAGGACATCTCAGCCCTGGAGGACAGGTGTCCTGACTATCGGGAAGCCAGGCTACCAGAAGCTGGGGTTCAGCAGAGGATGGTCTCCCCGCAGGATATAAGAATCCTGCTCTTCTTTTGGAGAGCCACTACAGCTGAGTTCTGCTCTGTTCCCTTAAGGGAACATCCTAGCAGAGCTATCTGCTTTGCTTCTCTGACCCAAGATGTTTCTTTTTTGCAAACACTCAGCTTCGGGAGCATCCTAGCAAGGTTCTTCTGTTCTGCTCTGCCTTGCTGAGGCCCCCTAGAAAGTGTCCCAGCAAAGTTTTTCAGCTCATTCCCCTAAGGGACATTCCAGTCAGGTTCTTTAGTCTGTACTGGTGAATGAAGGTCTTTGCCCAAGACTCTTTTGAGAAAGAAATTTACTTGGGAAGGAGGAGTCCAGGACAGTGGCTGCCTTTGCTAGGAAGGGCTTAACAGTAGCCTTTAACTGAAGGGGTAGAGTGGCAGCAGAAAGGCTTATGTAGGAGTTTTCCCAGGGAGAAGGGGGATTGGTTAGTTTTTCCTTGCTCTGGGATTGGCCAGTTTAATTGGTCAGGGGCAGAGATGTATCTGCCTTCATGTCAAAGTGTGTTTCTTTCACTGGTCCTTTTAGCTTTTTGACTCTAATCTTAGGAGCAGGGCATATTTCTTTCACTGGCTCTGACTCTAGGGACAAAGTGTGTTTCTCTAACACTAGTTTCAGAGTCAGGGCACATGTTTTTAGTACTGAGTTCAGGGATAAAGATGTGTCTTTCCCCGGCTCAGGTTTCAAATACAGGGTGTGTTTCTTTCACTGGCTCTGGGTTCAGAGTCAGGGTGCTCAATGATTGGTTGGTTTCCTGCCCAGGCATTGGTTGGTTCAGTTGGGCAGTTGGGCAGGGGCAGAGATGGCTCTGACTTCATGGACAAACTGTGTTTCTTTCACTGGTCCTTTTCAGGTTTTTGGCTCTACTCTTAGGACAAGGGCATATTTCTTTCACTGGCTCTAATTCTAAGGACAAAGAGTGTTTCTTTGATACTAGTTTCAGAGTCAGGGCTCATGTCTTTAGTCCTGGGTTCAGGGATAAAGATGTCTCTTTCCCTGGCCCAGGTCTAGATCCAGGGTGTGTTTCTCTCACTGGCTCTGGGTTCAGAGTCAGGGTGCTCAGTGATTGGTTGGTTTCCTGCTCCAGTTGTTGCTTTACACTACAATAGGACCAAGTGGTTGAAATACCCAGGGTCCCCCTCCTGTGACCTGCATCTCTCTCAACCAGTACTAAAGTTGCCTCGGAGAATTCCCCATGAGCAGCTGATTGAGCGTGAGACGACTTGCTCCTGGCTTGCAGGAGGTTCACGATGCACAGGCACGGTCTAAAAATGGACAGCTATAGAACACGGGAGATTACATAGCAATTCATGGACTATGCAGTGGTTCTGCTGTGTGAATGTAAACTTAAGGGGAATGCAACTGGTGGTGGAGTGGTGATTCCAGATCTCAGCGGGTGGAGGTAAGAGGGTCATCAGCTTCCAAGTCAGTGGGAAGCCAGAGTTGACAAATGAGAGCTTGTCTTAAAGAGAAGGGGACGCAGGAAGAGGAGGGCATTAATCACTTAATTAAGTAATTTGGAGACAAGATATGCAGTTTGACCACCCAGAATGAGCGGGTTAAAAGTGAAAGCGTTTGTGTCCCACGCTAGTGCTCACCAAAGGATAACTTCTTAGTAGAGAAGTGTTTTAGCAACCAAATGCATAAATCAACTCGTTCTCCAGACACCAGCAGCCTCTTCTCTCTGCCAGTCTGGCCGTTGCCCTGGAAACTCATAAAAGAAAGGCTGAGGTGACCGGGACGAGGTCATTCTTGCCTCAGCAACATGGTCGTTTTATTCTCCATTGCCAAACGAGCCCCAGCCATCACCTATTCCAACACTGAACTCGGACACAGTACTCTTCCTGAAGTAGAATAAGATAGAAAAGACTAATTATTAAATGATGATTTATTTAGTGATTCATTTAAAGCACAGCTCGTACCGCCCACTGGCCAAGCATGACTTCAGTTGCTCGCTAGAACACAATGACCTGAAGAAATGGCTGGAATAACGGGCCGTTGCCCTTAACAACCTACTGACTGCCACGTAGATGTCTGTAAAATCTCGCTTGCTTGCCCCACCTTGTGGTTTCAGCATATAAAGTGAATTGCAGAGTGGCTGGAACTATCTTGGCCGCAGTCCACCAGTGAGTAAATCTCCCTTCCGTGCTCACAGACATTGGGCTGCTTATTCTGGATGGATGCCCACAGAAGACCTGCAAAAGGTCTACACACTACCATGACATCTCACAAAGCCTTGATCAACAAACCCACTTCATAGCAAAAGAAGAGAAGAGTAGCAATGGGCCCATGTTCCCAGAAATCCAAACGCAGGTAGTGTGGTGTAGCAACACGGCGGCCTTTTGGAGAGAGTTACAGGACCAGCTAGGTACAGTATCTTGTCTGGCTGGGTCCAGGTCTCCAAAAGGTCTCAATTTGAATTGGTAGCAATACATGACAGACTACATGACATCAAGATTCACCCGGTAACCAGGAAGTGGAAATGGAAGTGGTGCCTTTCACTCTTCCGCCTTTGACACGCATATGTATTTTTTCTTCTTGTTCCCATGACTGTATGCTTAGCTAACATAGAGGTCAGAGTAACAGAGGAAAAAAATCTTTCAGTCAGAAACACAGCAATGACTCCACTGGTTGTCACCTTGCCACGTTGCACTCCTCAGGCCTCTGGAGAAAGAGGCAAAGATGGACACTACGATGTCAGCTAATGTGGCTGGTCGTGACTCCCAAAGGGAATCTGAACAACTACTCCACAACAGAATCTAAGTCTATCTGGAATACAAACAATGTCTGGGAGCATTTCAGTGCCTTGAGGTTAAGGACAGGGGGAAACAACCACAGGATGTCCCTTTGGATGAACACTGCAGGCGTCAATAAGCCACCAGCCAGGCCGAGCTGCTTGGTGAGGACAAAGGGGCCATAGATGGAGCCACAGAGGAAGGCAGCAAGAAACACTAGCTGTGCCGTGTGAGCAGCCGGAATCGTGTGCGTGTCCTGTCCTTGTAAAATAAAATGCTTTGACTTTATACACCTAGTTAACTATTCCTCACCCCATTTAAGTGACAAGATGTTGGGGGAAGGGCAAACTACTCAAGGATGTGTGCTCTGCGTTTATTTGCATTCGGCGTGGTTTCAGTGCCAAGCCAGAACTGTGGCTTCATTGTTATCCTTGTTTGCAGATCAAGCATAAGCTAGGAAGGTGTGCGGTGCCCAGCTGACAATGGGTAGACCTTTGGCGGTTCACTTTATGAGTTCCTTTGACAGGGTGATACTGTTACGGCCAGTGTCTCCGCAGCCATGTGTCTGAAAGGTGTCAGAAACGGAGTCAACAGACTGACGGGAGGTGACTGAGATAAATGTAGTATCACCCACCCACTGGAGGTCTGAAAATGGAAGAACAGAAGAAGTGAGAACCTATCTGTCAGCTGGGATATCGCTTCCTCCTTTCAGAACTGTGCTCCAGTCTGAGGCATGAAGGTAGCCAGGAGCCATGCTCTCTGAGACCTGAACTGAGGTTTACACTATTGGCTCCTGGTTCTGACATCCTTAGGCCCTGGACATGGCTGTGAAACCACACAGGCCTCTAGCTTGTGAAGGGACAATACTGGAACTTCTCAACCTCCTCCATCATAGGAAACCATGTGACAGATCTCCTTCGTTGATTTTGTTTTCCTAACATACATCATGTTTCATAAAGAAAAACCGACAGCATCACAGCACTTGAGATGAAGTCTGCAGAAAAACTTTCTGAACACATGATGAGAGTCAATGATATAAAGATTTAAATTTTCACAAATATGTATAAATTAAGCAGCATGTGCCTGTAATGTATCTGAAATCTGTGGATCAAATTCTACATTAAGATTATCAGGTCTTCAAGATCATTAACACTGATGCCAACTTATGCTGGAGAGGATGTGGGGTAAAGGGAAGATTCCTCCATTGCTGGTGGGAGTGCAAACTGGTACAGCCCCTTTGGATATCAGTGGTGCGGGAGAATTATCTGTAGTCTGTCAATCATGTTATAAATAAACACTGATTGGCCAGGTAGGAAATATAAGAGGGAAAACCAGACAGGAAATAGAAATGATGTAATGAGAACAGGAGAATTTTAGGAAGGAGGAAGTTGATTCCTCCCACTCCTGCCCAGATCGCCGAAGCAGCAGGATGTGATCTGCCTCACTAAAAAAGGTACTGAGTCACTTGGCTAACATAGATCAGAAAGATGGGTTCATACAATTGATGTGGGAGTCCCCTCTCTATGCTGTCAATATGATTGGTTAATAAAGGAACTGCTTTGGGCTTATAGCAGAGCTATAGGGGAACAGAGCTAGTCAGGGAAAATTAAACAGAATGCCGGGAGAAAGGAGGCAGAGTCAGGGAGAAGCCATGGAGCCTCCACCAGAGACAGACATGCTGAAATTTTGCTGGTAGGCCACGACCTCGTGGTGATGCACAGATTAATGGAGATGGGTTAAATTAAGATGTAAAAGTTAGCAAATAAGAAGCCAGAGCTAATGGGTCAGGCAGTGATTTTAATTAGTACAGTTTTCTGTGTGAATATTTCAGTTCAGGGCGGCCAGGAAAAACAAGCAGCCCCCATGCAACAAACAATATATAATTTTATTTTTTAATAGATAATGTGAAATTTAAATGACTTTATATCTTTTAATTAGATTCTGAACACTGTCTCATCTTTGATGGTTGGCGCATCTTACCAGCAGAGTTAAAATCGTTTGCTTCTAACAGTAAGCAGACATTCCTGATTGATTGCTCTCTCTTGTCTACATTAGCATGCTGCATTCCAATTGGTTGTTCTCTCCTGTCTTTGCTAATTAGCATGTTTCTTTGATGGCTGTTACTTGAAATTTATGGTCTGGCAATGGGAATACATTTTTATTTAAACTCACAAAATGTGTTTTTCCAGTTCACAGTTTCCCATGGTTATAAATTTTACTCGATTCTATTTTGCAACTTGTAAGGTTAAAACAATAATGACGTGGTGAGAATGTTATGAGTTTGAGGTTCTCATAGGGCAGGAAATATAGATGTGGCGATCCAGCCCAGGCTTTGGGATTTGTCCTCACACTCCTGAGTCAACACTGATTTATGAAGTTTTCATTCTTCTTACTGACTTCCAGCTTCGTGCCACTGTGCCTGGAAGAGATAGCAGGTATACTTTAAGTGTTTCTTAATTTCTTAAGGTTATGTTTTCCTGTGATCTGTCTTACTCCATGTAGCCTTTAGAACAAAGTGTATTCTCCTCCCAGGGAAAGGACATGCCCTATCTGTTAGAACCCTTCCATCTAAAGCACAGCTGGAGGCCAGGATCTCCTGACTGATTTTGTCTGGGTGAGAAGTGCACCTTGGAGAAGGGATTGGCTACCCCACTGTCTTGCTTTTATTTCCTGTAGCTGTCACTTGCTCTACATTTTTGGGTGTCGTGTCAGGCAGATCTTGTGTGTAATCACTATGTCTTCCTCATTCATTAATGATCTCCCTTGTCCCTTTGACAGTATTGGCCTTAAACTCTATTCTGTCTGATGTAAGTGCCGACACCACCGCATGACACGCCCTTTTCTACACGTGGACTTCGCAAGAGCCCTTAAAGCTAAATGAGCAGCTGGTGCCATTGACGGCACACAGCCAGAACTTACATTTTGTTTCATTTAATCTGTTTGAACACTCTTTGCCTTTTTAAAAAATGAGATCAACTCTCACTATGTAACCCCTGGCTAACTTGGAATTCTCAATGAAGATGAGGCTGGCCTTGAACTCTGAGAGATCTATCTTGTCCACCTACCTCTGCTTCTTACGTGTTGAGATAAAAGGTGTGCTCCACCATGCCTGGCTTCGTTATTCGCCTTTTTATTGGAGAATCTAATTCATTTATCTTTAACATAATCAATGGTTTGAAAACTTAGTGTTGTCAATTTTGTATGTTGTTTTCTGTTTCTTGATAGATAAGCATGCCAAAAATACACAATACTTAGATTCTCATACCAAACATAAAGGTATGAAAGGGTAAATTTCTATTTACCTGACATGCAGGTAAAATTCAAAGGTAAAATTTTAAAATATAAAACCACCCTAAGAAGCACAGGGAGAAAGCTGTTTTGTTTGTTTGCTTGTTTGAGATAGATCAGACTGGCCTCAAATTGCAGAACACCCACGAAGTGCTGGGATAATAGTTAGAAGCTACCAGGCCTGGCAAGGGAAAGCTTCTTGACACTGATATTGACATTCTTTTTTGACTTGGTACACAAACATCAACACTTAAAACTAGACAAGTGGAGTTATATCAAGACAAAAAGGTCTCTAAAAGCAAAATAAAAACCAATAGAATGAACAGGCAGGAAGGTGTGTTCAAAAAATATCTGGCAATGGGTTAAAGCTCAACATAAAAAGCCTCATATAAATAATAACCATAAAGTTAAATTAAGGGTAAAAGACTCAAATGAATGGAAACTAGTATATATAAAAGGGACTAAATCTCATTAGTCATCAGAGATCAGCATATTAAGCCCAAAATGAGATATTATTTCATACCTATTATGTTATATATAACATATATATTGGCTACCCCACTGTCTTGCTTTTATTTCCTGTATATATGTATATATAACATATATATTGCTTTTATATCAGTAATATATCATTATGTGCTTCTGTCAAGAGTCTGACAGTGAGTCTTAAGATGGGGATTTGTCAACAGTATTAGGAACCCTAACTTGTACAGTAGCATCCGCATCTCTAGTTCAGTAAGCTTTCCTTTACCTGGCCCACACACAGGACACTGCCACACACTACATCTCTGCCACCATCTCCC